TCAGCAGTGACCAGACGAGTTTGGTGGCATCGTCATCAGGCAACAATCCAACACTACACACCGTCCCTCCTGCCCTGAAAGACTGTTACAAGAGATGGAGCCTGACATCATGGACTGAATGAATTCAGCAGCTTTATAGGGATATATGTCTTTGTGTGGGGGTGTATATATATATGTATATATGAGACAAAAGCAATGGTGTATTGAAAAATGTGGGATCTGTGCATGACATGAATGGTATGGAATAAGGGGTGGATACTGTCCTGGGTTCAGCTACAGCAGTCATTTTTTCTCCTTCTTAGTAGCTGGTGCAGTGCTGTGTTTTTAACTTTCAGTCTGGGAACAATGCTGATAACACCGATGTTTTTAGCTGTTGCTCAGTAATGTTTACTCTGACCAAGGACTTTCTCAGTCTCATGCTCTGCCAGGGAGGAGGGGAAGCCAGGAGGAAGCAGAGACAGGACACCTGACCCAAACTGGCCAAAGGGGTATTCCATACCACAGCACGTCATGCCCAGTATATAAACTGGGGGGAGTTACCCGGAAGGCCCAGATCACTGCTTGGGTCGGGCTGGGTGTCGGTCGGTGGGTGGTGAGCAATTGTATCCTCTCCCCTTGTTATTTCCCTTATCATTATTATTGGTAGCAGCAGTGGTTTGTATTGTACCTTAGTTACTGAAGTGCTGTTATCTCAACCCGTGGGAGTTACATTTCTCCAATTCTCCTCCCCATCCCTCTGGGAGTGGGAAGAGGAAAAAGTGGGGGAGTGAGCAGCGGCTGCGTGGTTCCGAGTTACTGGCTGGGCTTAAACCCTGACAACAGCAAAACTGATTCGGCACATATCTGAAATAATTTCAGTTGTCCATGAACAGCTAGTCAGTTTCACTCTGAAGCTGGTATCAGAAGTAAAATCCTACTGTGCAGGAGGTCTGCTCTTCTCAGTTTCTTCTATAGCTGCTGGTGCCAGTTGACAGCAGTTGGGGAAGACTGAGTCCTGGTTTGCTTGTCCCAGGTTAATGCCTTTCACATTAGTAACATCTGTTTTACTTGAGCTTGATGATAACCTCCAAACTGGTAGCTGTAACATGTGGCTCATGTGCTCTAGCTCCTCAAAAGCACACTATTAAAAAAAGTACTACTGTGGGTTCTTTTTCAGGGTTTTAAATTTATGTCCTTATTACAGGCTCTAGTCAACAATCCGAAAATAGAAGTTGTAGATGGGAAGTATGCTTTCAAACCCAAGTACAACTTGAAAGATAAAAAGGCTCTGCTCAGGCTCTTGGACAAGCATGACCAGCGAGGGCTGGGAGGAATCCTTCTGGAAGATATCGAGGAAGGGCTACCCAATGCACAGAAAGCTATAAAGGTGAGTAGCATGTGTCTGCGATGTAGCGAACCCATTCCAGTTAGCTCCTCAAAGAGGAGGTAGATGCTAAGAGGGAATTTCCTCATGAGTTGTTTCTGTTCATTTTACAACTCAAAAGCTATTTCAGAAGATCTAATATTGTAGCTTTTGCTGTATTTCATCCTTTACGTTCATATGTGGCCTGATCTCAGCACAGCTGTCAAAGCTCTTTCTCATAAAAGACTTCTTGATTCCCCCATGTTCCAACTGTAGGCATTTAGTTTTGCTTTTATACCTTGATCTCAGTCCTCTGTGTCTCATCTTTGATTTATTAATGTACGTACCACCTGTGTCCACTTTAGATGCTTTTCACTGCCAGTTACTTTGCTGCTTCTCTAGTTTGTTATGCTTTTTGTAGCACAGCATCTGGGCCCATCGTTCAAGTTGGAATCTTTATTCTTGGAAACAAAGTGATTTTGTGTTTTTCTTTTGCATTTGTTTTCAAGGCTTTAGGGGACCAAATAATTTTTGTTAATCGCCCTGATAAGAAGAAAATTCTTTTCTACAATGACAAGAGCTGTCAGTTCACTGTGGACGAAGGTAGGTGTTCGTTTACATTCATTTCCATGATGGTTGATTCGAATTCATCTCAAACACCTGTATGTATAAGCAGTCTTCAGGTATGGTGGTCTTTTAAGGTGGTGATGAAATAAATATATCCAGCTGTCAGGTGGATGGTTTATATTAACACAAGGCTAACCAGACTAGCGAGTGACTTCAGGGGTAATATCCTCTGGTTTATAATGGATATATTGAAACATGGCACCAGGAATCCAACAGTTGTCTTCAAGTGCAGAAGAGACAAGAAAAAATAACCTGATAGTGATCTGCCTTATACAGCATCTAAGGTTTTGCTGTGTAAAGGGCAGCCAAAAAACCCCAAAAGAATGGCTTTTGGGTGCAAGTTTGTTTTGTTTTTCTTCCAGTTTATTAATCATGTGCCTTTTATTAGTGAATGCAATGAGAAGCTACACTTAAAGCAGAAGGGGGAAGCAAACAGGGAGGAGATGTGACCAGAAGTCCTGAGAAGGGGTAGTTATCAACTGGTAGGAGAGCACAGATGTGCGGTACTGCTGCTGCCTATAGCTGGAGTGGATTTGGGACTTCAGAAGTCTACTGTGTGTCTTCTGTCTAATAATGGTAACATCATCTGGTGCAGTGCATCCATTTAAGCACAGAAATTAATTACCAAAATTGAGGTGTGTTCCAATAATGACATTTACGCCAACATCAAATGCCTGTAAAAACAGAAAGGAGAAGGCAATCTGTGTCAGAAGATCTTACTCTGAATGACTAAATGGTACTGAACACTTCCTGTTGTTAACACAATGTTCTTGTATCATGCCACATAAAGCCATCTTATCATATAATGTTGCATTATGGCTAAAAGGGAAGAGTTTTGATAGAAACTTGAACTGCTCTAATTACGGGACCATAAGACAAAACGTAAAGATCTTTTTTTTTTGGGTAGCTCAGAATCCTTATTCTGAATAGAATTAAGCAACTGGAAATTGTATCATTAACTGTATAAATCCAAGGCTGTTCAGTGTGTTGTATTTTTAGCATACATCTGTGTTTAGGAACAAGCAGTTCAGACTGTTTCTATGAAAGGGGGGAAAGGTTAAAAACAAACAACTCTAAAACCCCTTGAAACAAAATGTTTAAGCCATTTGGCTCAATCTCCAGATGAAGGAAGGCATTTAAGGCTGTAGTGTCTGTAGTGAAGGGGTCACTAGTGTGCAGTTTTTAGTTCAAGGTAGCTTTGCTGTCTTTCATCCGCAGGTGGCAGCATGTTCCATTTAAGCAGAAAGTGATTTTTTTTTTAATTATTATTCTGTTACTGCTGGCTTTGGTTTTTTTCATGCAGATGATGATGCTTTGTTTTGAGAGGGGGCAAGAATACTTTCTCTTTTGTGAATTTTGTGATCAGCCTGCATATGCTACAACTCTTAAAACATCCCTAGTGGGTTTACTCACTTACTGCAGCTGGAGCAGGTCCTTTTTCCAACTGAGTTATCCTGTGAGGAAGAAAACCCATCCTTCCTGAGCAGTTTTGCTTCTGATTCTCTCCAGAGCACCAGAAGCACATCTCTTAGGGAGTCACTGGCAGAATTGTCTGCGTACAGGATGAGTTGTGACACATTTCTGTGTTAGCAGTGCTATTTCAGCTCATTATCTCCAGTAACATTAAAATGAAGTTTTTATAAAACTGCAAAATAAGCTTTGAAGTGTTGTCAGACTCTTTGATCTTAGCAGCTGATGACAGTTCAAAATATGTTTCTAGTTTAATGTTTATCCTTAGAAATAAGGGCTCTACGCTGCTTGGTGCATGATTTTCTGAGATGACACCCTCTAGTTTTGAACATATGTTGTCAGGGATTAGTATCCTTTAAGTTAGGCATCCTTTCCCATAGCTGTCTGAGCTCCATAAGCAGAGAATGAAGAGCTGCGAGGGTAATGTGGAGCTTGCTGTCTGAAGTAGTGCTTGCTGGCAGTGCCCACCTCTGCCCTGGCTACAGTTGTTTTGATGGCTGAACAAGCTTTTCTTTCTCCCCTTTTACAAGTAAATCTGAATGTACTGCAGCAGTGGTGCAGTACCTATGTATCAAGATCTTAAGGGTAGCAGAGGAGGTTTTTGCAGTAAGGAGCAGCTTTTGTTCTTCCTTTTATGTGATTAGCCAACGAAGGTTCAGATTGTATGTGTTCCTTCTTGACTTCCTGACTAATTAATCTTCTGTCAGTAGTGGGTAGCTGAAAGTGTTTATAAAAGCCAGGGTAGATTTCAGGTGCTTTCAGCCAAGTAAAGCACTGCCTTTTTGTGCTGAGGCTCAGCACTTAGCATGTGAACAAAGCTTTCACCCCATGCAGGGTGAATGCTGGAAGGCCAGTCTGATTGCTTAACTGTGAGAGATGGTATCTTTCACATCTGAATGTAATATAGGAAGTGTTTTAATGCCTAGAAATTCGGATACTTAATTATGCATGTTTTTAATATTCTTCCTGAGCACCTTTGAGGAGATTTAAAGACTGGCTAAAGCATTTTAAATTTAACAGTGTAAAAATTACTCGGAATTAGTGATGGCTTTGAATTCCAAGGTGATGCAGGAGCAGCACAAACCTAACATTGAGCACCTTTTCCTTCTGGTATAAATCTAGTACTGTGTTCTCTGGGACTGTTAGGAAGCAGGACTCCATCTTCCCCAATACTGAGTTATTTCTTCCCTTCTTCCCTGTTGCTGTCTGTTCTTGTCCTGTGCTCAGATTCTGGCTCAGCTCAGGTATGTTACAGCAGTTCATCTCCAGAAGCCATTCTAACCTTTTTGCAGGAGTAGGTGAGGCAGTCAGAAGTGCAGTATAAGACATGCTGAAGTCACCATGCAGCCATTTACCCATGACTTTGTTCCCCAAGTGTTATCATTTATAGAAAGGGAACATACTAGGGTGTAATCACTCGGGGAATGTCAGCACAAATTGGTTTTGTACATGAGGCACCTCTTGATAGAGTAAAGTTGAGGTAACTGCATTCTTACCCCTTGGGTGTTTTGGAGAGAGAAGGTGTTTGCAAAACCTTTGCCATGCAGCCCTCAGCTTTGCTGTGTGTTGGTTACTGCTAGTCAAAGCTCATTGTTTTAAGCCTGTGCATGCAGCCATCCCCATGCTGGAGATGTTAGCAAATACCTAAACTGGCCTTTCAGTCACCTCATGGTTCATTTCCTCCTCTCATTACTTGAAAGACCAGAAGTTAGCTATCTGGAGGAGCCAAGGGAGCAGCTTGTGAGTAGTGTTGATTCTGTCAAGCCTTAGAGTTAAAATATTACAGTGGCCAAATTGCAAGATACTGCATATAGGATTTGGTCATAGTGCAGGCAAGACATGGAGCACCTGCCTCGGGTACCAGGATCACAACTTTCTGCCTCTTCTGGGGGAGATCTGCATTGGCATCAGGACTTAAAAGCTCTGCTGAAAATATATGTATTTCCTTGAGGGTTTACAGCACTGTGCTGCTTTGGCCATAAATTCTTTGGAAATTTCTCCCCAGGGGATTTTTCTGGGCTCTGTCTTGTCATAGCAGCCCAGGCGGTGGGAGAAATTGTCAGCTTGTCTGAACGCAGCCTGCTGCAGTCAGGTGTAGCCTTACTGTCTTGACTGCTGGGCAGGGTTTTTTTCTTCTACAGCTATTATGCACTTGTTCTGGCTGATCTCTCAAATAGTTTAGTGTCTCTGATAAAAGAGTATTTTGCTGTGCTCTGATGGTATAAAGATCACCTAGCTGTTGACAGGACAGTGAGAAGGAAAATTGAATGTGCTCTGTAATCTAAATGGTTACATGCATTGCAGGAATTTGTGCATCTGAACCTGTTCTCTGTGACTGGCTAAAACAGGGCAGCATGTGGTGATCTTTCTGCTCCAGCATTCCCTTTCCTACTCCTCACAGCAATACTGAAGTCCCTGTGCCTGTCCACAGAGACAAGAAAGACATTGTAAAAAAGGGATCTGGTATATTGAAACCATCTCTAAGAACTGCCTTCTGTCACTGTTGTCTGCTTTTCAGACACATCATCTCCTTGCAACATTTTTCTTTCTGCTTCTCTGCTCTCCAGAGATAGGCCAGCCTGACACATCCTCCTGTCTGGCCAACTATAAGCATGGATGCTGCTCTAGAGGTGGTGGAGCACAGCGATCGTGTTGAGTGCCATTTCCTCCCCCTGGCCCCTTTCGTGAAGTGCTGCCTTTAATAAGTGGTGACCCCATTTGCTTGGAGCCACACAGCCAGGGTGACAGCACTTCAGATTCTCATCAAAGAAGTTGGAGAAATCTCTTTCCTATCTTGGGTCAAGGGTTTGAATTTTGAGGTGCAGAAATAGCGCAGCTACAAGTGCAGAGTGTTGGTTCTGAGAGCTGTAGGTATTGCCAGCTTTTCCCATAGGTTCTCCTGTTTCAGAGAGAGTGTTGCAATAATTCAGATAGCATATTCCCAAGGTCTAAACTTTCACTAGCTGATAGGGGCATAGTCCTTGGAGACTCCTGAATAACTCTGGCAGGTAATGTGGCAATGGTTCGGTGCCAGCCAGCCAGCTGCTCTCTTTCTTCAGTTCTTGCATTTAGTTCAGTGTCTGGTGTTACACCAAGTCGGTTTTGTGATGAGATGATAGATGAATCTCCTTTTCCCTTTCGATGGTACCCTGAATGCAAACAGCTGGTATGCACAGCCATCAGAAGGGTGGCAGCTCCGTTGCTTCTCCACCTTTATCCTCTGCTTTTAATCCTGGACCAATCCTTTAACACAGAGTATTCTGGGGGGGATGACTGTTTTGTTGTGACTTCCCCCCCTTTCCTAGTCAATAACACATTTTAATGCCTTAGATGGAGCTTCAGCGTGGGGAGAAGGTTCTTCTGCAGTTAACACAGTCAAGGCAATAGTGTTGAAAGCAGACTGATTTATGAAGGAATTTTTACATGGGAGTTGCAGAATACTGCAGAGTGACTCTGGTTGGACTAATTAGTGGATTAAATTATCTGTGTGTAAAGTCCATTTTAGCATTGCGGTTTTGATTCTTGGTGGCTTAGATTTGTATTTCTTGGCCAAGTTTAAAAGTTGAATGAGAAGCTATAATGATGGTTTAACCGCTGCATTACAAGAAATGCAAACTGCTGTGGTTAGATATAAACCATGATCTGCACTCCTCTGCATGCTGATCCTTGAAGAGCTGACCATTTATTTTCTAGTGTTTAATTTTTCACTTCTGTTCCCCAGAAGAATGTAGACCAGTTTAACCTTAAGCAGCTATCCTCAGCCTCCTTTTTTTTTGCACTGGGACATACTTGTCCATATATCATAAATTCTAATAAGTAGAAATAACATCTGTGTTTGTAGCAGATCATTATGAATAAAGGGATGCTGTCATGTGAAAGTTCAGACTTATCATGTCTCTCCTCTGCCATCACCTTGTGTTTACATACCTGTCATGCATCTTGGAGGACTGACCTGCAGCTCTTTAGCTCCCATTGGAGTCATTCTGTACAGAGCCAAAGGCAGAACAGCACAACACAGCGTTAAAGCATCTCTAACTGGAATCTGTTTAGTCATGCATTTATGTGCAGCCTTGTCACTTTATGTGTGAACTGCAGACACACGATTGGAAATACAGTTACTTGCAACGTGCAATACTGATTCATCTTTCCAAGCACCTCTAGGGTCTCAGCTTGGGTGTTGCGGACAGGGAGGGGGGCATGAATAGAAAGAAAATAGCTTGAAAGAGCATGTTCTGCTCAGTCAGGAGGGTGCAATAGGAACCTTGCACAGGCTTCTGCTGTTAAGTCTTGATTTGAGGGCTCATCCCTAAGAAATCTCTCTCTTGCATGTTCAGCTTTGATCACAGCACAAGCTTCTCCACCTGCTGCAATGGGATTAGGTGAGAGATGATGTGTGATAGCAGGCATTGCGAGCTATGCCAAAAGCCTGGAATCACACTCAAAATGGATGAGCAGATGGAGAATGTCTTGACTACAGTGTCAGTCCTTGCATTATCTGAAAGCTGGTGGTCTCAGTGATCCTGCTGTGCTGTATGAAAACGTATGTGCTCGTATGAAAAACGGGCTGAGCGCTACCTCCATGTAATCAAAAGTGGTGTTTTGACAGGATTTGGTTCTCTTCAAAAACACTGTATTACCTAAAATGAACATTGTTGTTCTTCACAGGTGAAATTCCTGTTTCCTGGAAAGCTTGAACAGCCCCTTACTGTTGATAGTGGGAAGAAAAGAAAGACCCAAGACTTAAAGCACATTTTTCATAGAAAAACGAGGCATTAGGAAGGGAATTGGTCCAAGTGCAGGAACCAAGTCTGTTACGTACACCTTTTGTACGGTGTCATCCTGTTGCAGTGTGTCTAGAGCCAGTGTATCTGTGTCAGACAGTTGTTTCATTGCCTGCTGTGTTGGACAGCTTCTTAAGCATGCAGAAGTTGTGGTTGTTTTGACAACTGTATACTAAATTTATCTGGAAATAAAGGGGAAAAATGTAGTGTTGCGTTGCTATGTGTGCCTCGTGTTTTATTTATAGTTTGTTAGCCAAACATGCTGACAGGATATATCGAACTTACTGCCTGGGGAATGAAGGGGAGGTAGGATTGTACCAGCCGCTGCCTGGAGAAGGCATTCCAGAGGCTCTGCGGAACTTTAACGTGAGGCAGAAAGTGTGCAGGCAGGTGGCAGCTGCTCTAATTAAGACTTACTGTCTCTCTGTTTTTTTCCTGCTGCTGTGGCTTTTAAGGTATCTCTCTTCTTAACACCAGAGGAATGTCAGTAATTTGTTACCCGTACAGCACAGTATGTATTATATTACAGTGATAAACGAACTTAAACCCATTGAAGCAAATGTCTTGAATCTTCAGTAAATTGGACTATGAGATGTTAAGTCTCCCAAGGCAATGGCAGCTGAAGATGTGTAAATGGAGTTGCCGTTTATGGTTAGTTATTATCCTTCACCAAGATCTTTTGAACCAAGGCTTATAAAGTGCATGGACAGTCTACACAGCTACAGAGGTGCTAGGCAAAAAAAAGAGAGACTCCATAGCAAATTCACATTAAAAGCACATGTTGCCTGTGGGTGCTCTGGGTCAGGATATAAAACGGGGGTTTCTTTGGTGTTTCAGAATTTCAGAAGCTGTGGAGGAGCATTCCTGTGGATTCTATGGATGAGGAGAAGATTGAAGAGTATCTGAAACGACAGGGTATTTCTTCCATGCAAGAAACTGGACCAAAGAAAATAGTAAGAGATACAAATTGCAAATCTTTCTAGGGGATTCCCACTTCCTGACCCCGCAGTGTTAATTCCAAAAGATAATGATAAGCCTATGCACGGCTGCTTTATGTAGCTCAGGGAAGTGTGACACGTTTTAAGAAGTTGCAAATAACAATGCTATAGCCAGCAGTCAGTGGTTTTACAACTTCTTTGAGCCAGTGTAATAATCTAAGCAGGATCAAGAAGAGGGCAAATGCCAGAAATCCCTGTGAGCTCCAAAGTGGAAGCTTCTGTTTGAAGCTCTACAATACATTAGGAGTAGAAGAACCGTTACTTTTTGGGGGGAAGGGTTGGGGTTTTGTGACTTTCTTCTCTGCTAAATAGTTTTGACGTCCTAATGGGAACCCCGTAATATGCCTCCCACCACACACATGCTGTTCTCCAAACTGGGAGCAATATGCTCCCAGTGTTTTACTGGGAGGCCAAAATGGCTGCAAGCTCTCAAAAAATACTTTCTTCCCGGCTTCAAGCAATTCGTTTTTTAACATTTGTTTGATGTCATACATCATGTCTTTTCTGCACTTGGCTTCAAACTGTCCTTTCCCTTCCACACAGGACTTGTTCCTGGTTTCTGCTGTTTGCTACATTAGATGCTTTAATGCCTCTCACCATGTAGACACTCCTGACTTCCTTATATGCTGAATGTGTCTTTAAGCATGTAATTGTGGATAGAATGATGGGGCATGTACCTGCTTCTGTAGTTGCATGAGAGTGTTTGGAAGCTTCACTTAAAAATGCCAGCTTTACTACTGCGCATGGGATACAGAGACTGCTCTGTCCCCATCTTCCTGCCTGGATTTGAGTTGAATACTGTTGCTTCTTGCCAGAAAAAGAAAGCACCTTCCCTGCCTTCCAACCCCTGGTTCAGGCAGGGCTCTTCTTTACTGAAGTGATGACTAGCACAGTGTCACACATCACATCAGATGTTGCAGCTGGAGGGCAGGTCTTTTGACTGCTGTTTATTTCTTCTTGCAGGCTCCTATTCAGAGGAGGAAGAAACCCGCTTCTCAGAAGAAACGCCGGTTTAAGAGTCACAATGACCACTTGGCTGGAGTATTAAAAGATTACTCTGATGTAGTTCCTGGCAAACAGTGACCAGTTGAAATCTGGAGCAAACATACATTTTTAATATATCAGGATTTTGCCACTTGGGTTCAGTGTCTGCTTCCAGAAAGACTGACTGTATATAGTAATGTGATGTGTTTCCCCCATCCCAACAACTGCCCAGGTGAAACAGGTCAGTTTAAGAGCAAGTATGAACAACTAAGTTTAGAGTTTAATTAGCTAATGGAAAAAGTATCTTTAAGTGAGAGATTCTCACTAGTTGCCTCTTGGCATAGTGATAAATGGTGCTCAGCATGTAATGCAGAAGTTCCTGTTCAATGCTTAACTCTGCTTTTACATTGCTTAATGGGTATTTACTTGGAATTACTTACAAGGGGCTTTCTAGTAGAATTGAATACAATGTTTGTTTTACCTATTTCAGGAAAACCTTTTCCTAGAATCACTTCAGGCAAGTTTCTTCATAGTCAAATACACCCTCAGTTTGTAGGCTCCTTTCTTGCCATGAGACTGAGCTTTATTGAGAATAGGTGATATCTGAGGCTCAAACTCAGAAAAAAACCAACCCTCTCCCGAAGTCCCAGCAGGCTGCAGGATGGCAATGCAGCTGCAGCTTCGTAATGCTAATCAGAAATTGCCTTTGGTGATTTGTCAGCATTGCAGGGGATGCACATGTGTTGCACAGTTCTACTCTATGGACAGGAGGGAAATAAAATGACAGTGTAATGCTGAAGCAGGTTTTTTTGTTGTTTTTCAGTAATAAACTTAATGCTGGTTTCCAGTTTTCCATCCTTAAAGAATGAGAGAATCAACATCTTTTGTGCTTGTTGCATTTTCCTTTTCAAGGAAGTGAAGGAATCTTTGCTGTATTTTTATCTTCTCGATGACTTACTGTTCTGGGCTGACCCTGTCATCTTTCTATCATTTGTGGTTGGGGAGAGGGGAGGAACCACCTTAAATGAATGCTCCAGTTGCTTGATGTTCTTGTGCAGTACAGACTAACGTGGAATGTGGCCAAATTATGTCTTCGTGATAACTTATTTTTATGTGCTGAACCAGAGTCAATCAATGCTGTTACTGTTTTCATGGCACTGCAGGAGAGGAGCTGCTTTTCTGCACTTCAGGGTTAGGATCAAAGATAAAACAGGTGACTGTGATACTCCACCAGCAGCAGATTGCTGCTTTCTTGCACATGAGCTGGTGTTGTGATGTGTCGGGGGCTGAAGCAGAGGCCGTCAGATCTGGACACGTGAACAGATGAAGAATAAGGCTTTGTTGCTGTTGCAATGAACACGTTATGTCTGCCTGGGGAAGCACAGGAGGAGAAATAAGTGTAGCATTTATCCTTCTGATATTGAAGACTGCTCTTTTGAGGAACAGAGTACTTCTGGCATTGCATGTGTCAGCCCTGTATCAACCTTGAAGAGTTCATAAATGCTGGTAGGAGTTTTCTTCTATTTTTTTTCTCCCATGCTTTTTTAATATAAATACATATAAAAAAGCATGCTGCTCTGGCTGGTGTTGAAACTGGTTTTATTCCCTATATTTTCCAGGTCAGCACAAGCAATTCCTTTTTGAGCTTTTTAGTTTTCCATTACAGCTCTGCTTTAAAGCACCTGCGGCACACTTGCAAACCTGTTCTCTTCTCTGCTGTCATCTTAACTCCAAAACAACAAAAAGTTCTCTTCCATCTGCTGCATTTTTGTGCAGTGGCTTTTTTGGGTTTTTTGATGGTGGTACTCAGACAAAAGCAGAACTCTTTAGTGAGCTCTTAGTCGCCTTTCATACCTTCGGAGTTTTTAGGGGGGGTAACTTCCCAGTCATCCCACTCATCTTACACAGTGTTATCCTTTCTCTGTGACCCAAAGCTTGCAAAGCAGGCCGTAAGGTAGCACCTGCTTTGTTTCTCTGCTCAAGTGGTTAAGATAATAGGGAACTCTGAAGAAAATGCCTGCAGTTATTTTCAAAGATTAAAAATATGTTAGGTCAAAAAAATAGGAAAGGAAGACTGACTATCAGCTCTGTGTGCTGTGCTGGCATTGTCAGGCTCCAGTGTTCAAAGGAACAAAACAGTTCAGTTGAAAGGCTGGTTTAGATGCTTTGTATCACCAGAGGAAGTCTTCTCCAGAGGAAGGCATAATAAGTTTTACAATTTTTTAGGGTACCGTTTCGGATATAGCTGAAGGGAGGCTCACATTGGCCTGTTGGAAGTGTCGTGGGATATAGACAAGCAGTTGTGAAGAAAACAAGCTCAGAAAATAAGCATGAGCTCCTCTCTTTGTGTGGGTTTGAGGAGCTGAGGTTTGTTTCTCTGTTGAAGATGCTCCCAGGGATCCTTATGGGGGTTTCTTCCAAGACCTCTTAAAAATCAGATGGTGCAACTTGAAAACCTCAGACTTTATCAACGGGAGTCTGTTTGCTGAAAGCATTTTAGTACCACTCTAGTCCACTTCAGTCTCCTCACAGCATAGTGTCCAAATCAGGCTTTTTGTTGAAGTTCAGCATAAGAGTTCGCAGCTGTGAAAAACTTAAACCTACTTCATCTTCCTCCAGGGTTTTCTCATGTATTCTGTGTTTGGTAAGATGGTTCTTCTGGTCTCCAAACCCACTGTGCCCTCAGCTCGCTTTCTTTGGCAAAATCCTTCTTCTGTTAGTCTGGCATTGTGAAGGGCTGCTGAGAGGAGTCATGCTCTCTCATGGGGACCATGGGCTTATTACTCCATTTTTCTCTTCATTCCCTGGAAGCATCTGCTGCTAACCAGGAAGATAAGGGGACTTGGGCTGCCCTTGGCTAAGGTAGAATGTAGAATAGAGTATTTCCGTTGGAAGGGGACCTACAGTGATCATCTAGTCCATGGCAGGCACTTCTGTCTCATGCGTTTCAGGAAGGTTCTTTGGTAAACCCATCTCAGTGCAGTCTTTACCTGTCCCTATGAGATGAGTTCTTCCCTCTTCTACTCTCCTGAGGCTCCTCAAGTGATGCATGTCCTGTCCAGCCAAGGACATTATATCTGAGCTGTCTACACCATCCTTTTGCTTGCACAGTCGCACCTTGAGTCTGTGGCTGTGAAGACACTATCTGCAGCAGTCACTGGAGCAGAGAACTCAGCTCTTTTGAGGTCTGCAAGCAGCCAGGGACATACGCTGCGTCCTGTGTCCCCCTCAGTATTACACTAGTTCATCTTGCTGGGAGGGAGGTGTGCCTCAAAATAAAAGCACTGTTGTTTTTTTTAAGGTGCAAGTTGAATGGCCTGGGTGTGTCACAGCTCTACTGATTTCTCTCCTAAAAGTTGCTCTAACTGAAGAGTTATTCAACCTCTTCCTCCTGTTCTGATGATCATTCTGGAAGGGGATGGAAAACAGCAGGATTTTGTATGCTTGAATGAGAAAACTGACATAAGGTGGTGTGTACCAGCGCTAATCTATAATTCATCATGATCATTGAAGGCTTTTAGAGAGCAGAGTAGAGAGAGGCAAGGGAGTCCTGACAAATGGTATAAAGACACCGCACATGGATGTAGCCAGTGAGGGCTGTCACTTCTGATGAGCATGGGCAGGCGGTGCAGGGCCATGGGGGAGAGCTGGGCTCCTGGTACCTGCTGACGAGGAGGGGCTACATTTGCAGATGACTAGAAGCAACTTGGTACTGACATCTCATTATTTCCAGCTTTATTGCTTGCTTTCTGGTCGCTGCTAATGTACCAGGCCCAAATTCCTTTGTGGGTTACAGCCTTGGGGGCCTCTGGCAGATACTGCATCTGGAGGAGGATGTCTAGGAGGACTGACTGCTTGCTGTTGACTGGTTAAGACCAGCAAGGCCATCAGGGAGAGGACAGCTTGGACCCCAGTCTGCTGGTACTGGCTTTCTGCTGCTGGCAAAGTCATGGATATGGCTGGATCATTGCAGCCTGCTGCTGAGTTGTCAGCAAGAGAGGGATCAGCCTCAAAGCAGCATTCCCAGCTACCTCATGTAGCTGGCATTGCTGCAGCACTGCCCAGCCTGGCTCTAGGGATGCTTACAAAAGGGAGTACTGGGCCAGCATTTTGTGGTAATGCAGAAGGTGGTTTGGGGGCCAAATCTCCTCCCAGAGGAGAGAGGGTCTTCTGCTGTGCTGCTTCTCGGGTCTGGCTTCGTAGGCACATTCCTAACTGTGTCTGTCTTGTTAGTCCTACACAGGCTCTCTGGATGTATCCCTGTAAAGCAGATAAGGAAGAATGGCAGTTCCCCAGATGAGAGGGCTTGTCTGGACACAGTAGGGCTTTCAGCAGGCAGGCAGCTTCTCCCTTGTGCTGGGTATTGCATAGCTGTAGCCGCTCTCTTCCCAACTGAGGAACACGCAGCCTGTGCCACTCTGGCAAGGGCCAGTGGAGCAAGGGAAGCTCTTGGCTCTCTGCTCAGCACTGGGGAGGTTACACTTCAAAACTGTGTCCAGTTTGAGCCTCTCCCCAACTCAAGAGGGATGCTGGGGAGGGTCTATTTGGGGCTTATGGGCTGGTCAGGGCTAGGGACAGAGTCTGGGAGGAGAGTGGGGAGCTGGGACAGCTCAATGTGGTGAAGAGGTGGCTGGGGGCATGTCTAAAGACAAGTACAGCGATGTGAAAGCCAGTTAGAAAGATGATGTGGTCAAACTCTTTTTTGCCAGCCATGCCAGGTGACGTAATAGGGGAACGTGGGAAGTTTGGCTTGGATATTAGGAAAAAAGAAGCTGGTGGGGAGGTGTTTCCATCCATGGAGGTTTCCCGCATCACCAAGACTAGACCAGGCTGCCAAGACCTCATTGGCAGTTCTGTTGCAAAAGAGAGGTTGGATCAGAGGCCTCCTGCAGCCCCTTTTATCGACGTGCTGCTGTGGGTCTGAGCCCCAGTTCCTTGCTGTTAAGAGCAGTTCTTGTTTCTTGCTGGCTTGCTTTTTGCTGCTTCGGTTTGCAAGTGGGTGCAGCAGCCTCTGTGTAACCCGCAGCCCAGGCAAAACCAGCTATGACTCCGAAAACCCATCAGCACAACATGTGGTTGGGACCCACATGTTGGACTCTACCAGCCTTGTGGGTCGGACACAGTGCAGAGTGCAAGCACAGCAGGGGAAAAGGGTGGTTAAAGCAGGAGGCTGTCCTTCCATTAAGTTAATTTTTTGACTATACCTGCACTTCTGGGCTTACATCCAAGGCCTGAAGTACTTGTGTGATTTCCTCCTGCCTCCATCAGTTAAGTTGTGTTCTCTATTCCCTCCTGAGCTAGTTATTAATTATGGAGACTGCAGAGATGAAGTCCAGGCTCTAGTAATGGTTGACTTCCCCGTGTTTTAGAAGCAGCATTTCAGGGATCTGCTAATGCTTTGCTTTTCAAGCTCCACCATCATCTTGGTTTCTAGCCTGAG